AGCAAGCTTGCTTCCTGCTAGTAACTGAAGTGTCACTAGTTTCTGAATGTCCTAATATAGTTGTTGTTCAATCAGGTATTGTGGTTAGTGAAATTTACCAAACATTAGAAAGGGCTTCAATTCCTATGTTTAAAACCGTGAAATATATGATCTGCAGAGTACATCTCTACTTGTTTGAGAATCCTTGTCAGTGTGTTTATATTTTGCCACCAAGTGTTCTAACAAGGAGAAGAAAGCCCAGCTCATCCAAGCCTTCCACCAAGTAACCCCATTGATTTTCCAAACCTTCAACGGTTGGTACAGTGTATAATTATGGTTATTTTTTAAAATATTTTTTATTTAAAAATATATTAAAATAATATATATTTTTTATTTTTTAAATTTTATTTTTGGCATCAATATTTCAAAATGGTACGATAATATTAAAAAAATATATTAATTTAAAACAAAAAAAATAAAAATTTTAAAATTTTTTAAAAATCATTTTTAAAACACAAAAATAATCAGGAATAAGAAGCTGGAAGCAACTTCATGATCAGAGGCTTACGGCCAAGTAGAAATCCCCCCCTGCCAGTCAGCACACCAGTAAAACACAGAAATTCCCAGGCTAATCACATTCAATTTCATAATTTATAGAAAGTCTGTCCAGTTAGTTAAAAATGATTAAAAATGGTTGGTTTGTGAATGATTCACACGGACACGATTTTATGGTTAAAATATCCTGTCGGTAGAGGAATTCTCAATTCTTTCCCTTTCTTGGTCTACAAGTTTTAATTATCAAAGAATTTTCTCTAACTTAACTTATTAGATAAAATTTTAAAATATTATTTATATTATTTTTTTTAATAACTATGATAGTAGAAGTCGCCCTTGCACATTACCAAATGCAGAAATCCCAAGGTCAATAGCATTCAATTTCTGATTTTAAAAATGATAATAACAAAATTGATGGTTGGTGAATGTGTTTGATTGCAGGTTGAGCAGTGGCCACTTGTTATGCTCCACGTGGACTGGATTTTATGGTCAAAAGGCAAATGAGTTTTAAATTTTGTTTTCTTGGTCCGCAAGTTTATATCACCTCTTGAAGTGTCAGATGTGGGATTTCTGAGAAATCTCCATTAACATGAAGAGAGAGAACTTCTCCATTCTATATTTGGAGGATAATAAGACAGCTATGATGCTGATATTCAAGGAATGATTTTGAATCAAAATGTTATAAAAACAAGAACAAAGATCATTTTTTTTAATATATTAACAAGAACAAAAATCATTTTTAATATATTAGAATAATAATAATTATAAGTGTGTGAAAATAACATAAATTATATATTTAAATTTTTATGTTGAAATGTTTCATTCAATTCACATAATATTAAATTTAAATGATTAAATAATCATGATTGTGTCCCCTGACTTAAATTGTTAGCTGAGAGATTCTCTACAGCAAGAAGTCTTCGTAGTTTTCCACCTTGGCGCTATTTTCACTGCATCTTCATGGAAAAGAAGAGCTTTTGTTTTATACAAGCTTTCTCTATATATTTGCTTCCCTTTTGCACTTTGTGTCACACACAACAAAGCAATGGAGGAGCATTCTGCAAAATGGATAATTAGAGGGAATGAGCTGTTGGATGAAACAGCAGCTACTAGTATCAGAGGTTATCTGAATATGCTGTATGATCATCTTGACAAAGATGATCAAAGGCCTGTAGTTCCCCTTTCCCATGGTGATCCCTCAGCATTTGCATGCTTTAGGACCAGTCCGGAAGCAGTACATGCTATTGTCCATGCTGTTCAATCAGCTGAGTTCAATTCTTATGCTCCTACTATTGGAATCCTTCCAGCAAGGAGGTATTTGCTTCGGGTTCTTTTCCACTGCTTATTATACATTAGATATTAGTATCGCTGAGCCAAACTGATGTTTCTACTTTGATTTTATGAAAGGGCTGTAGCAGAATATCTTTCTGCTGACCTTCCATACAATCTATCAGCAGATGACATTTATCTCACAGTTGGTTGTACACAGTCAATAGAAGTCATATTATCTGCTCTTGCTCGTCCCGGTGCCAATATTCTGCTTCCTAGACCAGGATATCCACTGTATGAATCACGGGCGAGTTTTAGCAAGCTTGAAGTACGCCATTTTGATCTTGTACCAGAAAAAGGTTGGGAGGTTGATCTTGAATCAATTGAAGCCCTTGCAGATGAGAACACTGCTGCCATTGTTATTATAAGCCCTGGAAATCCCTGTGGAAATGTCTTCTCTTACCAACATTTGAAGAAGGTAGAGGTCTATCCTAAATTTATCTTGGCTGCTGCTAAAATTGCTAGCACTGGACTCTTATGTTTCACTCGCGTTACTAGGTTGCAGAGACTGCAAGAAAGCTTGGGATTTTTGTGATTGCTGATGAAGTTTATGGCCATATAGCATTTGGAAGCAATCCATATGTACCAATGGGGGAGTTCGGATCCATTGTTCCTGTTCTTTCTCTCGGGTCTATATCAAAAAGATGGATTGTTCCGGGTTGGCGATTTGGTTGGATTGCAACTTGTGATCCTAATGGCATCCTTAAGAAATATGGGGTTTGTTTCTCATCTTTTCTTACAGATGAATGTTGTTCTTGTTCATTCTGAAGCAAAGCAACTTGTCTAATTAATACCTTCATATTCTTACCAGATAGTGGCCAGCATTAAGAGCTATTTCAACATCTCAAGTAACCCTGCAACCTTTGTCCAGGTTCCTTTGGATCCATTTGTCTGCCTTTTCTCTTTCAGTTCTGTTAGGGATCGAACTTTCTCTGACCTGTAGCATTGATACTTGATATCATTCTTTATCACTCCTGGAGGTTGAGATGCAAGATTTTCTATTGTTGGACAAGAACAGGTGTTCTTGTTCATTTTATTAGTCTAAGCCTGCTTATGCATTATTGATATCTAATATCTTGCTCATACCATTCAGTCAATAATCCCGTGGTTTGTTTTGTTATGTGTGTGATCTAATATCTTGCTCATACCATTCAGTCAATAATCCCGTGGTTTGTTTATCGTGGTTTGATATCTAATATCTTGCTCATACCATTCAGTCAATAATCCCGTGGTTTGTTTATCAGGCTGCAATTCCTCAAATCTTTGAGAAAACCAAAGAAGATTTCTTTTCAAAAACTATTAACACAATGCGAGAAGCCGCCGATATATGTTATGAAAAAACCAAGGAGATCCCTTGTGTTACTTGCCCACACAAACCTGATGGATCCATGTTTGCTATGGTAAAAACAAAGCAATCCTGAACTCAATTCTGGCCTGAAAGAAAATTTAGCATGGAAGTGAGATTCCTGATGACTTCCGTATGTTACAGGTAAAACTAAATCTTTCCTTGCTGGAAGACATTAGTGATGATATGGACTTCTGTCTCAAGCTGGCCAGAGAAGAATCTGTGATTATTCTGCCAGGTAAAGCATAAACAATGTAGAATCATCTGGTAGATGTTAATACAGCTGGCCGTGTTTAGAATCATCGTGTGCTTTGATGGTTGTTTCTCTAATGTCTAATATGTTGCACGACTTTGGAAGATTGATGCAAGCTTCCTGTCAAGTTGGCAGCAATGATGTTTTGATCACTGACGAATTTGGTGCAGGAGTGGCTGTGGGACTGAAGAATTGGCTCCGGATAACATTTTCCATTGAACCAGAGTCCCTTGAACAAGGTCTCGACAGGATGAAAGCATTCTGTCAAAGGCACAGCAGGAAGTGATAAGATATACCATGTCTAAGATCAAGTGATGGTGCCGACAATCTCTCAAGATTCAAGGTGCCATCAAGTTTCTTAAATTCTACTCTACCTTATCTACTATGGAAAGTGTCTTGGAGGACAGCAAAAGTTGTCCCATCTAGTCAAGAAATAAAAACCCATCTGCCTGTAAGCAAATCAGAAGAGGGGGTGCTGGAAGAGATCAACAACTTCTCATGGTGTCACTGGAGTTCCTTCAAGTATCAAAAATCAAAGTGTTATTAGATATTTGTGCTTGTAAAAAACCTGTCCATCAGAGTCTTGAATACCGTGTAAGGGCAAGGAGCTGTCCTTCTTCAGTCATAGAATTACAAATTTGCAACTTTCCTTGATTTTTCCTGATGTTATAAATTCTTGGATTTTATACATCAGTCTGCAACCAAGACACCTGGCAACATCTAGGCCAATTGTTGCACTTACCCCTTTCCTCTTTCACCAAGAATTTCTGGCAAAACTAGGGCCAGAGGAAGTTAAGATAAGAAGAACTCGAGGCCAAAATATTAACGGAGCTATAATTGTCTCCATCTGAACATGAAATGTGACCAAGCAAATCTAGTACCCAAGAAGGGTAGCTAAAGAAGAACCCCTCATCCTTGTGCCTGGTAAGGAACCTAACTGATACACCAATGGTTGCTTGAAAGATATCCCATGGAGACACTAATAAGCAACAACTCTTGCAGGGATTACTGGGGAGTTTAAGAATTAGATCCGAATAACTTTTATTAGAGTTGAACGATCATCTCCTGAAGATGGCCTTGGAAGGTTAAGGTCCTTCTGCCAGAGACATGCCAAGAAACAATAGTTTCACACCATTACTAAACCTGACCTGACTTAATGGTTAATCTCAGTAACCAAGGTCAAGCTTTATCTCAAACTAGTTTGGATATTTATCCTGTAAAAATCGGGTTAATTTATTTAAACTTTATAAACTTAGTTGATTTAATCAAACTTGATGAGACCCTCATAGTTAATTTCAAGGATTTTTAAAAAGATAATATTTTGGTTTTTTTAAATTTCTTTGTCTAAAATTTGGATTCATTTTTTTTTTTAATGAGATATTAAAATCTGAATAACTAAATGGGGTTTAATTTCCATGCTTTCAACAAATGCAATCCCACCATGACAAAGCCACGAAACAAAGAGTAGATAGACAGAGAGGCCCATCACTTTCTTACCGTTGCACTTCACCTGGCCCTAGTGACCCCCACAATTCCCACCCTAATCGAAAGGCAACAAAAACCCTGTCTCTCCAACGGCTCCTTTCATTCCAACAAAACCCAACATCAAAAACCCTTTCCTTTCTCAATCAAAAACCTCAAGAACCGTCTCCAAATCTTCACATTTACCAAGCTTTGCTTCTTCTTCTATCTCGAATCTCTCCAAAAATCTGCTATTAAAGCATTCAAGAAATGGATACAACACCACCTTCTCGTAGATCAAACCCCAACTCTCAAGCAAAATCAGCCTCTCGTTTGTCAAGAATCATATACTCTATCGAACCAGAAGCAAAGCCTCCACAGCTGTCTCTAGACCTTATCCCTTCTTCGGAAAAGAAAACCCCATCAAGTCTTTCACTCAAATCCTCAACCAACTCTCTCCCTCTTCAAGAACAACTCCTCCTCTCACCTTCTCCTTTGAGAAAATCAAGAAACCGTCTTGTCGACCGGTATGAGATTCCGGAGGAGGGTGTTTTAGAGCGAAATGGGTATAGAAGGAGATGCAAAGGTAGAGGATCTCAGATGGGTTCTTTAGGTTGTGCTTCACCAAGGAGTGATAGAAGGTTAAGGAGAAGATTGGAGGTGGAGAGTAGGGAAGAAAGGGACTTGATTGGTTTTGTGGATGAGGTTGGAAAATTGAGGAAGAGAAGACATAGCGGCCGGTCTAAGAAGGAGAAGGAGAAGCTCTCTTTAGTCCCTTCATTGCCTTCTTCTAGCACTACTCCAAGTACGTAGAAATGTGTTCTCTTTTTCATTTTTTTGTTGCCAAGTCCTTTAAATCTGGATTTTGTTGAATTGATTTGTGCTATTTTGATGGTGATTTTTGGATTTTAGAAGTTGATGAAGGTGATGGAGGCAATTTGGAGAGGATTGGGATGGTTGTTTATGATCTGATAACGTGGAAAGATGTGGCAAAATCAAGTCTTTGGTTTGGTCTTGGATGCCTATGTTTCTTGTCTTCCTGCTTTGCTAAAGGGATTAGCTTTAGGTGGATATCTCTTAATCTACTCTTTCTGCTTTGAATTTTCAGTTTGAGGTGCTATTAAGGTAGCTAAATCTCTTCAATTTTACGTTTTTAAGCATTCTCTCTGCCATTTCACAACTCGGGCTTCTGTTTCTGGGTGTATCATTCCTCTCGAATTCGATATGTCAAAGGTACAAGTCTCCAATGTTATTACAATAGCCAATAGATTATGGTTGGTTATTTTCACTGCATCTTCATGGAAAAGAAGAGCTTTTGTTTTATACAAGCTTTCTCTATATATTTGCTTCCCTTTTGCACTTTGTGTCACACACAACAAAGCAATGGAGGAGCATTCTGCAAAATGGATAATTAGAGGGAATGAGCTGTTGGATGAAACAGCAGCTACTAGTATCAGAGGTTATCTGAATATGCTGTATGATCATCTTGACAAAGATGATCAAAGGCCTGTAGTTCCCCTTTCCCATGGTGATCCCTCAGCATTTGCATGCTTTAGGACCAGTCCGGAAGCAGTACATGCTATTGTCCATGCTGTTCAATCAGCTGAGTTCAATTCTTATGCTCCTACTATTGGAATCCTTCCAGCAAGGAGGTATTTGCTTCGGGTTCTTTTCCACTGCTTATTATACATTAGATATTAGTATCGCTGAGCCAAACTGATGTTTCTACTTTGATTTTATGAAAGGGCTGTAGCAGAATATCTTTCTGCTGACCTTCCATACAATCTATCAGCAGATGACATTTATCTCACAGTTGGTTGTACACAGTCAATAGAAGTCATATTATCTGCTCTTGCTCGTCCCGGTGCCAATATTCTGCTTCCTAGACCAGGATATCCACTGTATGAATCACGGGCGAGTTTTAGCAAGCTTGAAGTACGCCATTTTGATCTTGTACCAGAAAAAGGTTGGGAGGTTGATCTTGAATCAATTGAAGCCCTTGCAGATGAGAACACTGCTGCCATTGTTATTATAAGCCCTGGAAATCCCTGTGGAAATGTCTTCTCTTACCAACATTTGAAGAAGGTAGAGGTCTATCCTAAATTTATCTTGGCTGCTGCTAAAATTGCTAGCACTGGACTCTTATGTTTCACTCGCGTTACTAGGTTGCAGAGACTGCAAGAAAGCTTGGGATTTTTGTGATTGCTGATGAAGTTTATGGCCATATAGCATTTGGAAGCAATCCATATGTACCAATGGGGGAGTTCGGATCCATTGTTCCTGTTCTTTCTCTCGGGTCTATATCAAAAAGATGGATTGTTCCGGGTTGGCGATTTGGTTGGATTGCAACTTGTGATCCTAATGGCATCCTTAAGAAATATGGGGTTTGTTTCTCATCTTTTCTTACAGATGAATGTTGTTCTTGTTCATTCTGAAGCAAAGCAACTTGTCTAATTAATACCTTCATATTCTTACCAGATAGTGGCCAGCATTAAGAGCTATTTCAACATCTCAAGTAACCCTGCAACCTTTGTCCAGGTTCCTTTGGATCCATTTGTCTGCCTTTTCTCTTTCAGTTCTGTTAGGGATCGAACTTTCTCTGACCTGTAGCATTGATACTTGATATCATTCTTTATCACTCCTGGAGGTTGAGATGCAAGATTTTCTATTGTTGGACAAGAACAGGTGTTCTTGTTCATTTTATTAGTCTAAGCCTGCTTATGCATTATTGATATCTAATATCTTGCTCATACCATTCAGTCAATAATCCCGTGGTTTGTTTATCGTGGTTTGATATCTAATATCTTGCTCATACCATTCAGTCAATAATCCCGTGGTTTGTTTATCGTGGTTTGATATCTAATATCTTGCTCATACCATTCAGTCAATAATCCCGTGGTTTGTTTATCAGGCTGCAATTCCTCAAATCTTTGAGAAAACCAAAGAAGATTTCTTTTCAAAAACTATTAACACAATGCGAGAAGCCGCCGATATATGTTATGAAAAAACCAAGGAGATCCCTTGTGTTACTTGCCCACACAAACCTGATGGATCCATGTTTGCTATGGTAAAAACAAAGCAATCCTGAACTCAATTCTGGCCTGAAAGAAAATTTAGCATGGAAGTGAGATTCCTGATGACTTCCGTATGTTACAGGTAAAACTAAATCTTTCCTTGCTGGAAGACATTAGTGATGATATGGACTTCTGTCTCAAGCTGGCCAGAGAAGAATCTGTGATTATTCTGCCAGGTAAAGCATAAACAATGTAGAATCATCTGGTAGATGTTAATACAGCTGGCCGTGTTTAGAATCATCGTGTGCTTTGATGGTTGTTTCTCTAATGTCTAATATGTTGCACGACTTTGGAAGATTGATGCAAGCTTCCTGTCAAGTTGGCAGCAATAATGTTTTGATCACTGACGAATTTGGTGCAGGAGTGGCTGTGGGACTGAAGAATTGGCTCCGGATAACATTTTCCATTGAACCAGAGTCCCTTGAACAAGGTCTCGACAGGATGAAAGCATTCTGTCAAAGGCACAGCAGGAAGTGATAAGATATACCATGTCTAAGATCAAGTGATGGTGCCGACAATCTCTCAAGATTCAAGGTGCCATCAAGTTTCTTAAATTCTACTCTACCTTATCTACTATGGAAAGTGTCTTGGAGGACAGCAAAAGTTGTCCCATCTAGTCAAGAAATAAAAACCCATCTGCCTGTAAGCAAATCAGAAGAGGGGGTGCTGGAAGAGATCAACAACTTCTCATGGTGTCACTGGAGTTCCTTCAAGTATCAAAAATCAAAGTGTTATTAGATATTTGTGCTTGTAAAAAACCTGTCCATCAGAGTCTTGAATACCGTGTAAGGGCAAGGAGCTGTCCTTCTTCAGTCATAGAATTACAAATTTGCAACTTTCCTTGATTTTTCCTGATGTTATAAATTCTTGGATTTTATACATCAGTCTGCAACCAAGACACCTGGCAACATCTAGGCCAATTGTTGCACTTACCCCTTTCCTCTTTCACCAAGAATTTCTGGCAAAACTAGGGCCAGAGGAAGTTAAGATAAGAAGAACTCGAGGCCAAAATATTAACGGAGCTATAATTGTCTCCATCTGAACATGAAATGTGACCAAGCAAATCTAGTACCCAAGAAGGGTAGCTAAAGAAGAACCCCTCATCCTTGTGCCTGGTAAGGAACCTAACTGATACACCAATGGTTGCTTGAAAGATATCCCATGGAGACACTAATAAGCAACAACTCTTGCAGGGATTACTGGGGAGTTTAAGAATTAGATCCGAATAACTTTTATTAGAGTTGAACGATCATCTCCTGAAGATGGCCTTGGAAGGTTAAGGTCCTTCTGCCAGAGACATGCCAAGAAACAATAGTTTCACACCATTACTAAACCTGACCTGACTTAATGGTTAATCTCAGTAACCAAGGTCAAGCTTTATCTCAAACTAGTTTGGATATTTATCCTGTAAAAATCGGGTTAATTTATTTAAACTTTATAAACTTAGTTGATTTAATCAAACTTGATGAGACCCTCATAGTTAATTTCAAGGATTTTTAAAAAGATAATATTTTGGTTTTTTTAAATTTCTTTGTCTAAAACTTGGATTCATTTTTTTTTTAATGAGATATTAAAATCTGAATAACTAAATGGGGTTTAATTTCCATGCTTTCAACAAATGCAATCCCACCATGACAAAGCCACGAAACAAAGAGTAGATAGACAGAGAGGCCCATCACTTTCTTACCGTTGCACTTCACCTGGCCCTAGTGACCCCCACAATTCCCACCCTAATCGAAAGGCAACAAAAACCCTGTCTCTCCAACGGCTCCTTTCATTCCAACAAAACCCAACATCAAAAACCCTTTCCTTTCTCAATCAAAAACCTCAAGAACCGTCTCCAAATCTTCACATTTACCAAGCTTTGCTTCTTCTTCTATCTCGAATCTCTCCAAAAATCTGCTATTAAAGCATTCAAGAAATGGATACAACACCACCTTCTCGTAGATCAAACCCCAACTCTCAAGCAAAATCAGCCTCTCGTTTGTCAAGAATCATATACTCTATCGAACCAGAAGCAAAGCCTCCACAGCTGTCTCTAGACCTTATCCCTTCTTCGGAAAAGAAAACCCCATCAAGTCTTTCACTCAAATCCTCAACCAACTCTCTCCCTCTTCAAGAACAACTCCTCCTCTCACCTTCTCCTTTGAGAAAATCAAGAAACCGTCTTGTCGACCGGTATGAGATTCCGGAGGAGGGTGTTTTAGAGCGAAATGGGTATAGAAGGAGATGCAAAGGTAGAGGATCTCAGATGGGTTCTTTAGGTTGTGCTTCACCAAGGAGTGATAGAAGGTTAAGGAGAAGATTGGAGGTGGAGAGTAGGGAAGAAAGGGACTTGATTGGTTTTGTGGATGAGGTTGGAAAATTGAGGAAGAGAAGACATAGCGGCCGGTCTAAGAAGGAGAAGGAGAAGCTCTCTTTAGTCCCTTCATTGCCTTCTTCTAGCACTACTCCAAGTACGTAGAAATGTGTTCTCTTTTTCATTTTTTTGTTGCCAAGTCCTTTAAATCTGGATTTTGTTGAATTGATTTGTGCTATTTTGATGGTGATTTTTGGATTTTAGAAGTTGATGAAGGTGATGGAGGCAATTTGGAGAGGATTGGGATGGTTGTTTATGATCTGATAACGTGGAAAGATGTGGCAAAATCAAGTCTTTGGTTTGGTCTTGGATGCCTATGTTTCTTGTCTTCCTGCTTTGCTAAAGGGATTAGCTTTAGGTGGATATCTCTTAATCTACTCTTTCTGCTTTGAATTTTCAGTTTGAGGTGCTATTAAGGTAGCTAAATCTCTTCAATTTTACGTTTTTAAGCATTCTCTCTGCCATTTCACAACTCGGGCTTCTGTTTCTGGGTGTATCATTCCTCTCGAATTCGATATGTCAAAGGTACAAGTCTCCAATGTTATTACAATAGCCAATAGATTATGGTTGTGTTCAAGTTCATCTAATTTGGGTTCTGAGCATTGAGATTCTGATAATGTAATCACAGAAACAGTGTTGAGAAGCTGAGAAAATTTAAGCTGACAGAAGAGGACATTTTGAGAGTCGGTAGATTGATACTTCCAGCTGCAAATCTTGCAATTTCAAAGACAAGAGAGTTATTCTCAGGAGAGCCATCCATGACCCTCAAAGTAATTACCCAATTTTTTTTGCATAATACTCTTAAGAACCTTTCCAATTTGATCAAACAGGCATTTAAAGAGTCTTCTATTTCCTGATCACAGGTGATTCCTTTCTTGCTTCTTGGTGCGGAGTATGGTCATCTTGTAACTTTGAGGAGGCTTTGTGGAATTGGTATGTCAACTATAATAATAAATTGTTTACGAAATCTGCTTGAGATCAATGTTTTGATGATAATTTACTCCTTATTATCTTGGTCTTGTCTTTGTGAATTTGAGCAGGGTTTTTCATTAGCTTCACCATACCAAAACTATTTGCTTGCTATTCTAGTCAGATTAACCAGAAAGGTATACAAAGCCTCTACATGTAAATGAAATGCTGTTAGCTTGTCTGGCCATTTATGGTTCCGTGGAAGTGAATTTTTTGTGGTGATACTGCAGCTGAGCACTTGAAATGCCGGATGATGGAAGCATGGAGAGCTTGTTCTCACAAAAAGATGGTGGCAGCATCAGCAGTCACAGCTTTCTGGAATCTGTCAAGTCTCAAAACCCGTATATTTACTGGTAATTGTGATGGATTTGCAGTATTTTTAAGCTGTTAAAAGCTACATAGCACTTCAATTCTAGCTGATGATTCTTAACTTAGATTTGGTTTTATTTGCAGCATTTATATCTTTGGTAATACTACGATGCTGCCGGCAACAACAAATGCCAAGCCAGGAAGAAGGGGGGCTACCGCCAACACAAGTAGAAGGGGTGGCAGAAGGAGAACAAGAGCCACAACAGGCAGGAGTGGCAGTGGCCTCCCTAAATCAGTAGGCATCTTTGCCATTTCTAACAACAATAACTTGCACTAACAACAATATGAGAGGCATTGCGTTGTACTCTATAAAACTAACACTTACTATGGACAAAGAACGATCCCTCCATTTTATTATGTACGTAATAAGATATCGTATTTCAATCTTCTGGTCTGAGTAAATGGAAATAGAGTATATGAAAGAAGTTGATCGTATAAGAGATAATCATAAGAGTTTATGTTGGAACTACACTTACACTTGCCCATTTCCTCACAACCATAGGAATAATCAATTTATATACAATTATTGGCTAATCGAGCACACTTGATTTTGGTTTAGGTCAAGGCCAAAAGCTCCTACCAACAACTCCCCCTTCTTGTTCTCTATCTATTTTGAATTTGATGATATAAAAAATAATTTTAATATATTTTTAAATAAAAAATATTATTAAAAAAAATCTTATACCATAATATAAAACACATACTAAGATTAAGATCTTCTCCCATCAATAACTCCATCCATCCATCCATCCAGATAGATTCGGGTCACCTTCTCCCATCAATAACTCCATCCATCCAGATAGATTCGGGTCATTATCCATTACTATCCGAACAGAAAGTATCACTCTCAAATGCAAAAATATTTGTAGCTCTATTATTCTCGAAAGCAGAATAGATTGGAAGCTCACAACGAGCATAAGGCAAAAGCAAACCTTTTGACTTCAAGTCAACACAAAGCAATAAAAACACCACACGTGCATAAAGCCATAAACCCCACAAAACTTCTCCTAGAAGTTAAAACCCAATTAAAAACCCTAATTGCCCTTTCTTTTCCTTTCTCCCTTCAATTTATAAATAACCACAGCTGCTGAGGCTTATGCATACGAAAAAGAAACAGCCTTTCTCCCTCTCTGTGAAATCAACTGATCTTCGATCGATCAATCAATCAAAAATGGCAACGACAGCTGAGAAAAGAAAGCCGGTGTTCATCAAAGTAGAAGAACTCAAGCCTGGCACCAATGGTCACAATCTCACTGTCAAAATTCTTGAATCTAAACCAGTCCCTGTCCCTAAGCCACGTCGTGCTCCTATGTCTCTCTCTCAACGCCCTCAACGCCCTTCTCGAATCAATGAATGTCTTGTTGGTGATGAAACTGGTTGTATTGTTTTCACTGCAAGAAATGAACAAGGTGAAAGATTTTTCCTCCTTTATTGATAAAGACTATGCTTTTTTGTGCTATCTAGGATTCTTTATTGATATTGTTTCTGGGTTTTGGGTTTTGATTATGGAGACCCAATAAAGGTGGCTACTTTGTTGGTTTTTTTGTTGGGGTTTTGATTTTTTTGCTTTGATGGTTTCTGGGTTCAGGGTTTTGAGACTTGATTTGTATGAATTTGTTATTTGGATCTTTTTTGTTTATGAGGTCTGGCTGATATGATGGTGTGTTGTTAAGGTGATTGATTGCTGGTTCTTGTTACTTTGTTATGGTTTGTTGACTTGAGAGAACAGTGTCTGGGTCACTGTTTTAATGGGGTGGAAGGAAAGTAAAGTTTTGGCATTGTTGGGCCTTTGAGCTTGTAGTTCAAGCTAGCTTGTGAAGTCTGTCTGTTTGTATTTTTTAGAATCCAAAATAGAGGTTTGAGTTTTAAGGAGTTTTTGGGAAGCGAAGCCTTTTAAGGGTGAGAATGGGTTTTGGGTTGTATTGACACTTGGTTCCTAAGAGTATCTAGATCGTAGAATGGCCATTTTGAAAGTTAATGCTTTTTTGGTCCACTTTTATGTATTCATTTTGCTGATGTATCGTGTGAAAGTTTCATTGTTCTGCTTAGTTCTAATAAGGTTAACATATTGTGCTATAAGTAGTAGTGTTGTATGTTTCAAGACAACACATGTTGAACTAGGATATTATAGAGGCACCGACTTTACATTTTCCTTTAGTTTCTCTCAATGAATACTATGTTTATGGTAGCGATTTTTGGATGTATTAAATAGTTCTCGCAATTGTGGTTTCTTTGAAAATGCACTATTGATTTCCAGAAGGCATTGCATTAGATAGTTATGAATTAAACAATTGCTTGAATTTTAGAATTCACAATTCACTCTTAATTATTCATTCTTGATTCGTAGATATTTATTTGATGTGCAAAACTAATACTTTGAGCCAGTGGACTCTGAATGTCATTTATTGATTTTAAACCAGAATGCTGAGTTCAGGTGCCTAGGAAATTAGCTTGGTGTTACTTTTGTAACTTGCTTGAAATAAAATTTGGATGCTGTGGTCAGCGAGCCCACTGTTGGTAACTAATATGTGCCAAGTATGGGTCAAGACCACCTTGGTCTTGCTTGCATATCAATATAGGTTGAGGATTGTCCTCGTTTCTTTTTGATGTTCGTTCATTTCCTAGAGTGTAGCTTCATCTGTGCTTGTAGTTAGTAACAATGGGGAAAACATTCCCTGAACCCCCCCACATTGTAGTTAGTAACAATGGGGAAAACATTTCCTGAACCCCCCCACACAAAAAAAAAGATAGAAAAAAAAAAGAAAAAGAAACTGCATGCTGGGGAGGCACGGAGGCCGTCTTGCTATCTATAATACATTGATCATGCTCTCCTTGATCTTGGGTAGAAATAAACACATTTAGGTTTCTTTTTTTTTAGTGATTGTAAAGGTTTTGGTTAATGCATTTTGATATCATGCTTAACAGTCATTTTAATCTTATGCAGTTGACATTATGGAGCCTGGTGCCACTGTCATCCTGCGCAATGCCAAGATTGACATGTTCAAGGGGTCTATGAGGCTTGCCGTAGACAAGTGGGGACGTGTTGAAGTTGCAGAACCTGCTAACTTTGCAGTTAGAGAGAATAACAATCTTTCTCTGGTGGAGTATGAATTGGTTACTGTTCAAGCATGATTAGCGTTTCTTATGGGAGTGAATATTTCAAATTTAGTAAAGACTTGATTATTGTTCCCTGGTTGTGAACTATAACTTATATATGAAGCCTAAGATATGCTCAGAAGTTGTAAGTTTTAGCAATATTGCGTTGTTAATGCCACAATTATCAGATTGAGAATGAAATACTAGTTAAATGTGATTAGCCAAATCCAGTCTCTTTATTTCCGGTTTACTTCTGGCAACAAGGTGCATGGATTTCGCATGGGTTGCGTTTGCATGCAGAGTAATGCTGGAGGCAATTGTCCTGTGTAAAACGCTTGGTATCATGTTCGTCAGGGTTCAGTTTCCTGGTGCCCTAAAATATAAAACATGAATCTCCAAGAGAACAGCAGCCAAAATGTATATGAATCTAAACGAGAAGGGGTAGGGCTTTGGCAAATACGGATTTCTTTTAATATAGTTGATTTTCTGTGATTTCGATCAATAAATTGATAGGAAGGATCTATCATTAGCGTATCCAGTTCTCTGGATTTGCTGACTTGAATACCTGATTTGCAATGATTTACAGAATGGGTGCTTATTCAAAAACAAAAAAATTAGCAAGGTTGGAATCGTTCATTTGGATAGATATATCAAATTTATTTTATATGTTTAAAAATCAAACATCTTAAGAAATATTCAAATTTATTCATCAATAAATAATTCAAAGCAATCTATTTGAGAATAGGAAAAAAACACTTGAAAGTGTCAAGAAAACAAAGACTCCCAAAATGCTAAGTAGTTCATCTCTGAATTTTCATTTAGTTAGGGCTATGTAACAAAAAACAAACTCAAGCGGGCGAAGCCACTGTCATTTTCCAGGTAATAATTGCAACTGGCGTGTCATTATGCACACGCAACATCGGGGATGTAATGTGCCAAGAGAGAATTACAGCCCTGAAAAATATGAGTGCAGGCTGGAATTAAAGGGGAAAAAAATGGTGCTACATAAGCAATGGAAGGAAAAACAAGGTGAGATCTACTGAGTCTTCCAGGCCAGATCAAGCAACAACAGATTACAACCCTAAACACACAAAAGATCAAGTCAGAATAGAAAAGCCAAAAACCCTCATGGTTGAGATGCGCAATTCCTCAATTCTACTACTAAATAAACCAATTCTGGAGCACAATGCATAATCTAGCTGACAAGAAATGATTTGATGCCATTGACTTGCAGTGGACAAAAGGGCTACTACCAGCAGAAAGCAATGCAAAGCACATTTAGCATTCACTAAGAGCGAATGCCTCCCCAATTTAACATGCATGGTTTTTATGAGCTTAAGATGAAGCATGCCTAAGGAGGGTTTGATATGAGCTAAAAGTATCTCAAGCAACACTTTATCCAAAGTAGCCTGAAAGGGTAAGGATTTGCATTGATTCGTGATAGATATCAAGTTACGGTTCATAATTGTCACACATGTAATAAAAAACTTAAAACAACAAATGGAAACAGATAAACATCAATATACACAGAAATGCAAATATTTGAAACACCTTCACTTTGGTTCATGTCCATCAAAGTGAATAAAGCAGCTATTATAGGCTACATGACACTAATGGAAAGAGTGCAGTCCCAGAGTTTCTTACGTACAAATACTTAGTCTTGTCCTTACATAAAACATGAAAGGAAAGGGAAAAAACAATTTCAGGGTCAACTTTCCAATAGGCAGCTCATTCAACACTTCTAATCTAGCTGGCATCATTCTCTTAGATGCAAGAACTTTTGAACAAAACTTCACCGAACCGATTGCACATTCATCATACATCATCATTGCAAGCTGATTAAATAAAAGAAATTAGCAGGGAGCATAAAATCACCTTTCCAACACCAACATCACACAAGCTTCAGAAAGGGAAAAAAGTGAAAACTACAACTGAATGAATCTGCAATACATCTTTCAAATTACCGTACTGAGAACTAAATCTTATGCATAAAAATATCAGACATACAAGTATTTTATTAGAGCTATAGAAGGATAAGAGTACTAATTCATCTAGGTTTTAGAAGCTCAGAAATCCAACCGGTCTCTTCAGCAGCTCATTCAAAACTTCTAAAGGCAGAATTTTGTACTAAAACTTGATTGAATCTTCTGAGAATTCATCACACATCATCATTGCAAGCTGATTGAATAACAATAATCAGTATGCTCCCTTAATGGTCAGGTTAATTCTTTTTTGGAGAAATTAATCAAAGAAATGCTTAAGCGAACCATTTAAACTCCAAGTAAGAAGTTGAACATTTACAACTACATGTCATCACAATAAATTATCAAAAGGATTCTTGAGCATGTACTTTAAAAATATTGTAGGCGATAGTTCAAAGAAAAATGAACAATATGAGTTCTTGAAACAACAAATATTTACATCCATCATCTTGCTAATGACCACCAATCCTAATTCACCCATTCCATCTGATACTGATACTACAATTTAAAGAGTTAATTTCCTTTCTAAATAATTCTCAATATGGAGGGACTTTTATTTTATTTTTTAAAATACAATTACTCTTCCATCTAACATACAACTACAGGAAACAGCCAGGCCACCACAGTAGCTGCCAAGCCCTCCATTTGTTTATTTGTCCAGCAAAACCAATTCAAGGTTGACAAGACATCCATATAATACATCCTCCATGTTTGCCCCTATTGGCTGAATCTATGTCAAGCTACCATTACGCTCCTGCACCATGTTGTTGTTACATTATTCATAGATTCATAGAAATTCTTAATTAGCACAAATGATCTGTGTTTAAGTTCTGAAGCTCATTCAATATCTTAGGAAGACACTGGATTATTCCACAAGAAAAACTACAATTCAAACACACAAAAAAATGAAAGACTCTTAATAATAGGTTAGATGGCACTGAGGCAACAGAAAACTCTTTTCAGAATAATGTCAAACACAGAGATCATTTAATAAATACTAATCCATACAACATAATCCTTATCTAAAACGGCTGTGTTTTATATCATGTTTCATCATTAGTTCGAATAAACTGTTTTGTCTAATCTAAACATGATGCCAACCCTCCTAGTTTAACAGCTTCAAAATAAAAACAAATCCAAGCCATTCCATCTTTGCTTCTCGATCTTCATCTAGTCTTGACTTGTCCTACAACATGAAAAGAGAGGAGTTTGCACCTCTTTATCAAAACAAAGCACTAAAACGAGAGTATTTTCTTCTTCTTATTTATTTTTTTTTTTGATGTGGTTATGCAAGATTGAGAGGGCTTGGCAAATAAACTTAAGCGATTTATCTTAACCACATGGCCTAGCATTCACTACTAGCCTAATCCAGCAAACACTAACTTACCAGAAAATTAAAAGGAAGAAAAGAACATCAAGGGGGATTACAAACGTTGTTAGATACCTAATTCAAGAATAAAACCCACTGGTTAGACAACGTATACCAAAACTAACCTAGAACACAAGAAAAAGGAATGACCACACATGTCAGACACATAAAATTTACCATTACCCCATTTCTTAGTTACCTTTACCACTCCATCCCTTCATACCACAATTCCAATTTCCACAACAGTTTCTCAAAAGATTAACACAAAACTACCAAAAAAGTGTAGCATAATCATCAAGTAAAACAATTCAAACTTATGCAACATCACCAACATAAACGCAATCAAGAAACAATCAATCATAAAACAGAAACATATAAACCAAAAAGATCAAATCTTTTCTATACCTTCAAGAAGCCAGCCACAACTGCAGCGAGAAATGGAGAGCATCGAAGTCATCAAAGCCGAGGCAGTCACTGTATGGTAAGGCATCATTGATGCTACAGCAAAGCTCATTTCCACTGGACTCCTCCTTCATTAACCAAAACAATAAACAAAAGAAAACATCCCATTAACACTTTCAGTCATTCAAAGCAAAACAGCTCATTAAAGTTTTAATCTTTCTAAATCAAAATAAATCAATAGACACGCACACAAAAGGAGAGGTAATGGTGACCTGAGAATGGGTTTGCTCGTGGTGGAGTTGAGGCCAAAGGGGGAGGCTTTAGGCTTGGATTTGGACTGGGAAGCAAAGCGGGCCGCCGCGTTACGGGCGGCGGATGACCGGATAACGGATCTGGCGGCTGCAAATGAGGCCATTTTTGTGATTTTGTTTTCCAGATGAAAGAAGGTTGTTGTTTTTGCTTTTGGTAGGGGTATGTTAACGGGAAAGCTTAAACCCTATGGTAATTTCGGAATGTGTTGTTGTTTTTGTTTTTCTGTTAAAAAATATTTTTGAAAATTGTTAATTTTTTCATTTGTTAATATTAAAAATTAAATAAAAAATACTTTAAAAAATAACATTTTACATTGAAATTTTGGAATAAAGCCCCTGTAACCAAACACAAAGAAAACCATTTCTGAATTCAACACCACCAATTACCAAACACCCCCCCCCCAATGAGGTAACAAACATCCCTCCCCTACAAAAGCCCGTTAAATCAAATTCCCAGGTTCCATTTTTCAAGATTTCAATTCCTCAACTCAGAAACAATGGCTTCTCTCTTCAAGGTAAATTCACTATAACACAAAAATGTTTCAGTCTTTAGACTTTATTTCTTAGAAATAATCACCTCTTTTTTTTTTCTTTTTCTTTTTTCAATTTCAGGATCTAACAAAGCTATCAGCTTATAGAGACAGGAGGTTTCCTGGTAATCAAGAAGAGTTTGAACAGGCACTTCAAACCTCAACAACTGTCTACATTGGTAACATGTCTTTTTATTCTACTGAAGAGCAAGTTTATGAGCTTTTCTCTCGAGCTGGAGAGATTAAGAAGATAATAATGGGTTTGGATAAGAACAGTAAAACCCCATGTGGGTTTTGTTTTGTCTTGTAAGTCTCTTGTTTGTTTCTTGTAAAGAGTTTCAATAGTTTTGGTGCTATGTTTATGGAGATGAAAAGATAATCATGGGTTTAGACTGGAAGGCTGAAACCCCGTGTGGGTTTTGTTTTGTCCTTTAAATGTTTGGTTTGTTTCTTATACGAAGTTTCAATCTTTAAGTTTTATGTTTATAAAACTGAGAAGATAGTTGTAGGTTTAGACTGGAAGACTAAAACCTCATGTCGGTTTTACTTTGTCTAGTTCGCCTTTGGTCTAGTTCGTTAAAAGGTATGAATTTTTAAGGACTTGGTTTGTGGAAGAAACTTGGAAGATAATT